AATTCACATACATACAGATTAAACACAGATTAAAACTGTCATAAAATAGAAACACCTAAAATTAAAACAAAAGTTTAAAACAGCCAATAAAAGAGAAGTCACTAAAAACAGAAGAGAGTTACAGCATAAAAGACTGATCATTGACCAAAAGCTAAATAAAAAAAATGTGTCTTCAGGCTGGATTTAAACTGGGCCAGTGAAGAAGCCTGGCGTACCACCAGAGGGAGAGCGTTCCAGAGTCTGGGAGCAACAAAGGCGAACGCTCGCTCCCCACGAGCTTTATAATTCAGTGTCGGGACTTTGAGTAGAAGACGATCAGCAGACCTTAGCAACTCTGACAGGTACAAGGGGGCTAAACCATTCAGGGCTTTGTAGGTAAAAGTTAAAACTTTTTGTTGAATTCGAAATTGTACTCCAGTGTAAATCTGCCAGAATATGATTGATGTGACAGCGTTTATTTGCATTGGAAAGAAATCTGGCTGCAGCATTTTGGACTTTCTGCAGACGATTTGGGACAGATACATTTACACCAATTAGAACGGAGTTGGAAAAATACCCCCCCCCCCCCCCCCCCCCACACACACACACACACACACACTGATAGTGATGAGCTTCATTGTGTCCACAGCTTCCCTGGGGCACACTAACAGAAGTGAGGTTCACAGCTCCACTGGTTCCTCTAGCCACCATCAGAAGACCAGGGTGAAATGTACCCAAGGACTCAACAACTGACAGACTTAGCCTGGATTCAAACCCACAACTCACCAGTTACAGGGTGAACTCCTAATCACCCTAATGTCTCCAATCATTCAGACTTTTCAAACAGACACTTTTACCACAGACAATGAGCAATTCATGTAAAGATTTATTTTAAGTAATATGATTTGCGTTTATTATGAAATCATTTTATTTTGCACTCAGAGGTGCCTTCGTACCCGATACCCATGAAGTGCATTTATAGAAGTATCTCACGCACTAACGGTATAAAAAAACGATGTTTGCTTACCCTTTTTGCCCTTCACACCCTGGAATCCCTCTGCCTCTCAGCATGGAGCCCCAATTGTCAGCTTAAGAACTGTTTAGCTAAATATAGAACACCAAAATGTGTTTAAAGTGCAAATCCTGCTTTTTGTTTTCCTTTTTGACTTTCTTCCTCTCTGTTTCAGCGTATTTTAATGCATTCATGCTTCTGTCTGTATGGTTTTACCATGTACATTGATACTTAATCTTACTTTAAACTTTAGGCAGTTTTCTCCCTCCTTGGGCGGCCCTCCGTCCCTGCCCCGCTCTCATCACTCTGAATGGTTTAGCTGTGTGCTGTGGTGTGTGTTCGATAGCGGGAGACGCTTTATGAATGTGTGAGAAGGCCTTGGCGGCACCCCTGCTCCCTCACATTAAGATGAGCTGAATAAATCTAAAACATGCCACAGGCTGTCCTACACACAGACACACACACACACACACACACACACACACACACACACACACACACTCACACATGTACTCACACAAAAGAATTTAAGTCCGAGACCTGTTCAGTTCCTGGGGAAAAAAACAGAATCATAAAACTCTTATCACTTTAAACCCCTCCACACACACACACACACACACACACACACACACACACACACACACACACACACACACACCTCTGTGTTTGTCCTTGAGGAGGTGGAGGGGTGTCGGGGTGGTGTCAGTAGGGGCAGCGAAGCGGTGTGTGTGAAGGTTTGATGCTTGTTGGGACTTGCTCAGCTGGTCAGTACACACGCTGCCTCTTGTCCCCAAGGCTCTGGATAAATTCAACGTCAGTGACAATTTACAGCCCGCGCCCATCCTCGATATGACGTCCTGAGCAGAGCGCGGAGCGTGTCTTGTTGTCGTTTCACCAAAGTGAGGCTAATTTATTACAATGCGAAACCCACCAAGCAGAGATATAAGGGAGGCCTTGGTCTGAGACGTGCTGCCTAAAACTAGCTGATGTGATATTTTTATTGTTTCTAAGGAGTAAATAGATCTATTAAATAAATTTTCTTTTGAATTCTTTTTTTATGTGAAAGCCAAACTGATATTTATCATTTATTGTCAAAAAGTATGGACACCAGTGATTTTTTTTTACTCTCCCTTTTTCTGCAGTATCACATTTGCTTTAAATAAGGATAATTGCATTTAAATAAATGCCCTGCCTTCAGGAAGTCTTGACGGGGCTTCTTTTGTATTGGCTGAAGAGGGATGAAGATGAAGAGCTCAGTTAATTACATCTTGTCACAAGTTATGAATCTGAACCCAAAGTTCTGACTGCTGTCAAAGAAAGAGCTGAGCAGCACAATCAGGACTGACCTTCACGATCCATTAGATTTATGTTGAGGGTTTTTTGTTCAGCAGCACTTTTCTCCGCAGTCAGTAGTAATTTACATATTTATCATAGCTGATCTGAGTTTGACATCCATTATTTTTTTCCCCTTCTTGGTAAGCCACATGAGAAAGAGCAGTAGTACACCGT